TGGGTTCGAATCCCAGTACGACCTCTTTTTTGCTGCGTTCGGGAGCTCTTATATGTGAAGGTGAGGCTGATGCCGCGGATTGCAAAGTCGTAGTGCGGTTGGCGGCAAGCGCAACTCGGGGGCGCGTGCCACGGGTGCCTGGCGTGGTTACCGCCGAGCTTTGATCTCGAGCGGTGGCGCTGCATATTGTCCTGGCGATGTCGATGCGCCGAAACGTTCGCAGAAGGCGAGCAGCGAGGCCCAAGCGGCTCGCTCAAGGCTCGAGCGTGCGAGAATTTCGCATTGGTATTTCCGCGCGGATTCGCCAACTTACCCGCTGCGGTTCGTGGGCGCGCTGTCGTGAGCCGCACTGCCGTCCCTTACGTGATCCGCTTCGTCGTTCCCCCAAAAATGCCCCTCCGCCAAATCAGGTCGATACCGTAGAGCCGTAACCCATCCAGTCGGGTCACAACCAGCAAAACAACGTCTGCAAAGAGCGAAATTCAAAGTCAAAGTCGACTCGGTGAGCTGATGCATAACAAGGCGTTGCTTGTCCAACGATGCGTGCACAGAGATTCCCCCGCATTTTTTTTCTTCTCCGCCGCAGCCTTGGATCGTCGTCGCGTGAAACTCGTATGCGGCTGGCGGAGGAGGCGTTGAGCCGCGCTCGCCAACGGTTACCGCTCGCTCGCATGCTCGCCTCTCTGGCCGCTTCCCCGCATAGCCTGATCCGTGCCCGACTTTCCCAACCCAGACGAACCTCGAGCCCTTCCGGAGCTGCTTCGCTCGCCACACACGCACATGTCCAAACCTCCTCTGCTCTGCACACAGCAACGTGGCCGACCTACCTCGATCCGACACCCCTTCCAGTCGCTCCCCATACTTAAACCTTCGTTCGTCCCGTCGGATTTTTCCTTCGCAACCTCATTGATACCACCTCCCGCGCTTCACCATGTCCGTCGCCACGACAGGCACCATCCCCATGCCTCAGGTCATGAAGGCCGAGGAGTATTGGAATCCCGGACAGAGGGAGGCCTTCCTTGCCTTCGCTGACGCCATCGTTCCCGAGCTCGATGGAGCCGAGGCCGCAGACGTGCTTTCCCACCTCCCCGTCGAGGCCTCGGACCGCCAGCGCGAACTTGCGCCACGCTTCGCCAGGGAGGGCTTCAAGTCGACCCCACGCCTGCTCGACTGCGCAGCCCAGCAGGTCAAGGCTTCGCTCTCCCCCAAGGTCGCCGGCGACATCAACCTCTTCCTGACTCTCCTCTCCACCCGCCCTGGTTGCCTCGCCCTCACGGGCTACGTCGGTCCTTTCGCGCAGCTCGACCGCGCCACGCGCGAAAAAATCATCTTTGGCTGGTTCACCTCTCGCCTCACCTTGCTGCGAAAGGCCTCTGCAGGTCTCAAGGGAATCACCCTTCTCGTCTACTACCGCAACCATCAGCCCGCTTGGGAGGCCATCGGCTACCCGGATGGCCGACCCGACGACTGGACCCGTCCTTCCCAGGGCGGCGAGGCTTCGCCTGCCGTCTCCGTGTACGACTACAAGTTTGAAAACGAAAAGATCGCCGCACAGCCCTCGGGCTCCGAGATCATCGTCGACACCGAGGTGCTCGTCATCGGTTCCGGTTCCGGAGGCGGAGTCGCTGGCAGCTATCTAGCCCAGCGCGGCGTTCGCACTTTGATCGTCGACAAGGGCATCTACCTCCACCCGGACAAGGTTGTCGGCAGGGAGGACCAGGGATACGGCCTCCTCTACGAAGGCGAGGGCATCATGCCCTCCGAAGACGGCTCCATCAACATCCTCGCCGGCTCCACCTTTGGCGGCGGCTCTTCCATCAACTGGTCCGCCTCGCTCAAGCCTCGTCACTTTGTTCGCAAGGCTTGGTCCGACAAGTACGGCGTCCCTTACTACAACAGCCCCTACTTTACCTCGGATCTCAACGCCGTCTGCACCCGCATGGGGGTCGCCGTCGCACCCATCCGTCACAATGTCGGCAACTCGCTCCTTGCCCTCGGCGCCCAACGCGCTGGCCACCCCGTCGAGCCGGTCCCCCAGAACAGCGGCGGACACACCCACTACTGCGGAAAGTGCCAGCTCGGATGCATCTCGGGTCACAAACAGGGCGGCGTTGTCTCTTGGCTCCGCGACGCCGCCGAGGCCGGTGCCGCCTTCATGACCAACTGCTACGTCGAAAGGATTCTCTTTGACAAGAACAAGCGCGCCGTCGGTGCGCTCGCCACCGTCGACGGACGCAAGGTCAAGATCCTGGCTGCCAAGGGCGTCGTCGTTTCCTCCGGCTCCCTGCAGACGCCCGCGCTCCTACTCCGATCGCCCGAGCTCAAGAGCAACAAGATGATCGGCCAGACCCTCCGTCTGCACCCAGCGACCGTCGTGACCGGCTACTACAACTTCCCCATCAAGCCTTGGGAGGGTGGACTGCTCACCATGGTGGACAACTCCGCCGAGATGGTCGACAAGGACGGCTGGGGTTGCAAGATCGAGGTCATCGCTTCGTCCCCCTCCATTCACGCGGCTTTCAGCAACTTTTCAAGCGCCAAGGACCACAAGTCTCGCATGCTCCGATACAGCCACAGCTACACCATGGTCATCATCTGCCGTGACCGTGACAGCGGCCGCATCGTCCTCGACGACCAAGGCAAGGCGCGAGTCGAATACACCATCTCGCCCTTCGACCAGCGCTCGCTCATCCAAGGCATCCTCCGCGGTGCCGACGCGCATCTCATGGCTGGTGCCGAGGCCATCTCGACCGTGCAGACCGGCGTGCCTGCCTTTGAAGCCGCCTCCCTCGGCTCGGTCCAGCCTCCCTCGTCCGGTGCTCCCGCCCCTGCCCCTCCCACCAGCGACAGCATCTACACCGAGACCACCCAGGTGCCCGCCACCTGGACGCCTGTTCAGACGGTGCCTCGCGATCTCAACAACCCTGCCTACAAGGCATGGCAGCAGAAGATCGTCTCGACGGGAGCCAAGCCCTACATCTGCTCGATCGGCTCGGCGCATCAGATGGCCTCATGCCGCATGGGCGGCAACCCCAAGATCTCGGCTCTCGACCCCGAGGGCCGCGTGTGGGGCGCCAAGAACCTCTGGGTTGCCGATGCTTCCGCCATGCCCGAGTCCAGCGGTGTCAACCCCATGATTACCACCATGGCCACCGCCCGCGGCGTCGCCCGCAACGTCGCCCGCGACATTGGCGCCGTCGAACCTCTTCAGCTTCGCTCGGAAGGTGGAGAGAACCAAGCCCGTCTGTAGATTCCACCTCTGTTGCCTCTGAATACACGATCGTCACTGGCTCGACTTGATTCACCAGAGAGAGCGAGACATTTTTACTGCCTTGAGGTCCGATAGACTCGCAAGCCTTTCGAACGATCCCTGCGATTGGTTCGCTGAGCGCGGTCGATGCGACGACCAACGCTGCCCATGCCACAACGAAGCTATTCCTGTCGATGCAGCTCGGGAGACGGATTCTGCACTGCGGATGGGCCTCGTCGGCCGATGGAATGGACACATGCGTGATATTGAAAGGTACTGGTCAAATGCAAATTGAGTAAGGACAGTGAGTAGAAACCATGTAAGATGGCGGTAGCGACTAAGCAGAACAATGGTTCGTGACACGCTCTCGGGAGTGCTAGATGGAAACTTCGTCCTCCTCCTCGATGACGGACCCGGCGATGGAGGAGGGGCGCATGCCGAGAGGGCTGAGCGCGGGGTCTCGACTGTTAATTGCTTCGACGGCAGACGTGGTCTGCGCCAGTCGTGGATGCGACGCCGCCTCGACATCGGGCTTGGCAGCGCCCTGCGGGGTGGAGACCGCAGCGTTGAGAGCGGGATCGGACGGGTCGTCTACGGCCATGCGCAGCTGCACTTTCTTCACCTCCCAGTCCCAGTCGGTAATGCCGATGAGCCAGATCATGCCGGCCGATCCGAAGAGCAGCGCGATCGTCAATCCCCACCAGAGGCCGGCCAAGCCAAGGTTGATGCGCGTGAAGGTGAGGACGAGTCCGACGGGGATGCCGATGATGTAGTAGGAGACCATGTTGATGCCTGCGCCGGCCGCTTGCCTGCCCGTGCCTCGGAGCACTCCACCAGCAATACCGCAGATGCCGTCGGCCACTTGGAAGAAGGCAAGAAGCGGCAAGATGTACTCGACGAGCTTGATGACCTCGATATCAGAGCTGAAGAGCCATCCCCACTGCTTGCGGAAGATGAGGAAGAGGGCCGAGTTCAGACCGCCCATGGCGAGCGAGAGGATGAGAGCGACTCTGCTCGAGATCTTGGCCTCCTCCGGTCGATTTGCGCCGAGGAGGTTGCCGATGCGCACGGCGGTGGCGACCGAGGCACCAAAGGGAAGCTGGTACGTCACCGAAGAGCTGACGAGCAACACCGACTGAGCCGCGAGAGCGACAACGCCGAGCTGGCTGGTGACTAAGCCGACGATCTCCCACGCCCACCACTCGGCAGCCAGGCTGACCATGCCGGCGAAGCCGAGGTAGAGGACGGGTCTGATGCCGTCCCACTTGAAAGCGGCGGTGGTGAAGCCGTCCCAGGCGTCGCGCGGAGCGAGGACGCACTGGAAGAAGCAGAGCACGGCCATGAGCCACATGGAGACGGCGGAAGCGATAGGGGCGCCGATGAAGCCGAGCCGGATGGAGTCTGGACCCCATACAAGCAGGTAGTTTGCGATGGCGTTGAGAGGCGAGACGAAGATGAGCACGATCGTTGGAGCGTGCATCAGTCCCTGCGCCTGCAAGTAGCGTCGGCAGACTTCGAAGAGCGCGTAGCCTGGAAGGCCGTAGGCAAGCACGGCAAGGTAGCGGCCCGCAAGATACGCCACCTCTGGATCTTGGCCGATGTGGATGAGGATGACCTCTGCGTTGAGCCAGATGGCAAGGATGATTGGGAGGATGCCGATGAGAATGACGCCCATTCGCTGGGTCCACAGCCCGACCGACTTGGGTTGCTGAGTGTAGGCGGAAGGAAGGAGAGTGTCGAGGGCCGAGATGAAGCCGGAGAGAACGCTGTAGCCTGAGACGTTGGCGGTCATGCTGGAGAGGGAGGCTGCGGCGAGCTCGACGGTGCCGAGATGGCCGAGCGAGAATACCGAAGCCACCGAGAGCGACAATTCGAGGATGTGGGTGGCAAAGATGGGGATGGTGTAGCCGATCAAGACGCGTGCTTCGCGCCAGGCGACGTGGTCGTGCGATTCGAGAGCGATGGCCTCGATCTGCTCGACGCCGGGGAGAGGAGCCTCGCGCATGAGGTTTGCGGCGGCCCATCCGCTGACGCCAGGACCGCCGCTGATGATGCTTGCGCCATCGAACGAGGATCTGCGGACGGCGCCGTACGAGGAAGGGGCAGCGCTAGAGCCAGGGAGCTGGTGCGAGGAGCGGTTGTGATGAAGAAGCGCGGTAGACTCGGAAGCGTCAGTGTCGTCGTCGTTCTGCTCTGCATTGTCGTTATCAGTGCGCCTTGGCGGCTTGTGAGGAGCGGCGGGGGACAGAGGTGGGACTGCGGGAGCTCCTAGGGAAAGGTTGGAGGCGGCGCCGCCGGCATGGTGGGTTGGCGGCACGGCCGAACCGCCGAGAAGATACTCGGATGGAATGCCAGCGACCTGCGGGTATGCATTCACGCTTGGACGGCGATTGCGGGGCGAGATGATGGGTGCGGGCGTCGAGGCGAGACGGTTGCCGCGGCCGAAGGCAGGCGAGCTTGCGACGGTCAGATGGTTGGTAGGCAGCGAGATGTTGCTGAGACCAGTGTCGGTCGAGTCGTCTTGGTGGATCGAGGAGACCGAGGCAGCAGCATCGGTATCGTCGGCGTCGTGGTCTTCCGACACGCTCTGTGCGTCTGCTTCGTCGTTGTGAGCTGCGCGCGATTGGCCGGCGGTGAGGGCGCCGCCGAGGGCGCCAAAGTGGTGATAAGAGCTGGGATGGCCTTGGAGCAGCGTGTAGTCCCTCGTTACAGACGAGCCGTAGCGGGGAGTGAAGCTCATGGTCGATTGTTCGAAGGCGATAAGGTAAAGTGGTGGTGGCGGCGATGCAAGCGGCTCAAGCAAGTCGGCCGTGACAGCTGGTGGCGAGGGTTCAGTGCGATTCGGGAAGACGCGCGAAATCGGCTCAACTCGACTGCAGGCGCGAGCCAGATTGCTGCAGCACGGACGAAGTTTTGTGCCGGTCTCGCCACAGAAAACAGCGCCATCTCGCCAAGGGCGCACGAAATCCAGAGCATGTGAGGTCGGTCGCAATAGACACTGTCGAAAAAATCGAGGCTGCGCTGCGAGCTAGTAGCCGCTCAAAAGACCGAGATAACCCTAACCGTAAGTGACTCGCTCCGCTCTTGCAGCGAATGCCGCGCCTTGATCTCGAACTTGTACATGCTACATTAGGACGGTCACAAGGTCATGATGTCGGGTACGTGCAACTGCGGACAGGATCGTGTCGTGCTCCGACTCTGCTTCGACTGACTCCTCTTCCACACCGCCGCCAGGATTGAGAGTCGAGGAGGTGTCCTGGGACCATGCGGATGCCATCGAAATGCGAAAGGAGCAGCGCAAAGATATCGCAGCGCTTTACGAGCGCGTAGACTCGGAGCCTGGAACACCTCCGACCGCGCAAGACATCACCTGCTTTTGCGTCGTCTACCAGGACAAGCAGCCCGTCGGATGCGGCGGCCTCCGAAGGTTGGATGCCGACTCGGCAGAGATCAAACGCATGTTTGTCGCCAGAAGCGCTCGCGGAAAGGGCGCCGCCAATGCCGTGCTTGCCTTTCTCGAGAACAAGTCACTAGAGCTGGGCATCCATCGTCTACTGCTCGAGACTGGCGATAAGCTCGCAGAGGCACACCGCTTCTACACCCGAAACGGCTACAAGATCATCCCCAACTTTGGATACTACGCCGGCGTCGACACCTCCATCTGCATGGAGAAGCGGCTTTTCAACGATCAGACGGACTCAGGCGATAAGCAGTAGAATGCACACGTCGTGGCATGGCAAATGTGATGATAAGATAAATCCGATGGGAACAAGTAAACATGCGGAGGGGTCGATCGGCGATGGCGTGTCTATCACGAACGCAGGTGGGGGAAGAGCTTTTGCGAGTTTTCGTGGCTGATCTTGGCGAGATCCTCTGCCGAGAACTTGCCGTCGAGCGTCTTGAACCAATCGCACGCATCCTCGAACTTCTCGTAGGGGTAGTCGATGGAGAAGAGGATGCGGTCGACGCCAATCTCGTCCTGCACATACTTGAGCGTGAGCGTGGAGAAGTGGCCCGATGTGGTGACCCAGATGTTCTCGTTGAAGTAGTCGCGGATCGTCTTCTTCATGGACACGGCGCCACGGGGCTTGTGCACATCCTCGAGCCAGTGGTTGATGCGCCACAGGTCGAACGGGATGTGCTCTCCGAGGTGGCCGACGATGATCTTGAGCTTGGGGTGTCGGTCAAAGACGCCGTTGACGATCATGCCGAGGAGGTGCGCCGAGACGTTGTTGGCGAAGGAGAGGACGGGCCCGATGAGCGCGGCGCGGTCCTTGTAGATGCGGCGGTGGATCTCGCCCTTGGGTGCGATGGGATGGAGGTAGAAGGGCACGTCGAGCTCGGTCACGGTGGACCAGAAGTCGTCCCACTCGGGCAGGTCGTACCATGCCGCCTCGTCGTTGGGCAGACGCTGGTTGTCGTTGACGAGCGCGCCGACAAAGCCGAGCTCCTTGACGCAGCGCCTGAGCTCGTCGCTGGCGTCCTTGGGGTTGTGCATGGACAAGCTGGCAAAGGCGCTGAAGCGCTTGGGGTTCTTCTGCACCTGCTGGTGGACCCAGTCGTTGACCTCGCGGGCGGCAGCGGCGGCCGCCTTGGGCTCGTCAAAGTCCTGGATGCCGGGGGCGGTGAGCGAAAGGATGGTGTGAGCAACGCCGTGCTTGTCCATCTTGGCGAGGCGCTCGCCGTGGATGTCCACGAGGCGGTCTGCATGCGCTTGGCCGTTTCCGTCGGCGACAAAGAGGCGCGCCTGGTAGGCCGACTGCTCCGCCAGCGAGGGGATGTTGAAGGCTTCTTCGAGGGCGATCAAAGACATGGTGGACGTGATGCTAAAGGTTGGTGGTGATGTGCGGAATACAGGGGGATGCAATGATAGTTGGGCCTTCCCCAGAGAGGGCGAGAAAGGTCGAGCTACTTATACATCGTAGCAGCCGCAACCCCGGGAAAGACGGCAAACGCTGCCAGGGTGGGGCAAGCGGACCGGGCAAGTTGCTTCTTCGGGCGAGGTCCGTTGAGCTCGCGTGCCGTCCGACGACGGTGATTCCACAGGTTCTGTATCTTGTGCGCGCTCGCACGTCGCTCGCTCGCACTGCTGTTCAAGCTGGGGCTGCCGGGGCTGCCAGTGCATCGGACTCATGTCTGGCTAAGGCAGACGAACCCGTCGAATCCTGGGCAGTCGCGGGGGCGTGTTCGCGGTGAGGGCGAGGGAGAGCACCCGCGCTACCCCACAAACAGCCAAGGGATGCATGCAAAAGTGGAGCTTTTGATAGCCGAGGCGGAACAGCCCAGAAGCTGCTGCACCTTGGCGGGGCATGTCCGGTGCCCGGCCGCGGGGCGTTGCCGTTGCCGCTCCTGCTCGAGGCTCAGCTGGACGCACAGGCCCACTCCACCCGAAGGGTTCGCCAGCCGAAATTCCGAAAACCAAAAGGTGAGCTTCTCTCTCGGGCTCGGGCCTCGTTCAGGGTCCTCGCTCTGCGTCTGCTTTTGCCATTTCGGTCTTCTCAGTGCCGTTCGGAGTTGGTCCGGGGGATCCATTCGAGGCGAAGTCGACAGAAGCGCGAGGCACATGACGGACAGCGCTCTCCCTCGCTGACAGCAGGACGACACACGCTTGAATCCAACCAGACAGTGCAATTCATTGCCACGACGGATGTGTCGCTCGCCGCCTCGATACAAGGCTGATGGCAGCCGCCTTTCAATCAGAGCTCTGAACATGACCATCGTGCAGGTGCAAGGTTAGCATCGCCGAACCTCACCGTACGCAAAGATAGAACGGAGCGCGAGCGCAACTACTTACTAGCCAGACCTTGTACGTCTCGATCTTGGGAGCACCTTGCTCGAGGCTCTTTGCGTCGAATTCCATCCTGCCGGCCCAGTTGAACTTGAGTGTAGATCCGTTCTTGTCCATTTCGACGCTGCCGTCGAGCATGATCTCGTTGTCCCACTTGGGGCTGATAAAGACGCCGTTGACGACGTGCTTGCGGCGTGTCACACCCTCCCATCCTTTCTGACGCCAGGCGACGATGCCATCACGCGTGTTGGTCGGCTGCATCGGTCCAATCTGGAAGCGCAGACGCTCTTCGTCGTGGATGAAGCATTCGTCGGCGTACTGTTCGTGGATCCCGGGCGTGTCAGAGAGCTTGTAGAATCGCTCGACAAACGCGGCGATGGCAGGTGGCACATCCTTGTTGCTGGCCTCGGCTGGGTTGCCGGCTGGTGGCAGCTCGTTGTCCTCGTGGTGTTCGTCCTCCGTCATCGTCGAAATGCGCAGTCAGTGGTGACGGTGTGGAGTCAAGACAGCACGTCGAAAAAAAA